TATACAATATGTTAGACATATCTATTTTGTGTAAAATAACATTTGTGTCGAATGCCTGTTTCTCTAATATAATTTTTTTCTCCATGTGAACAATTTACTAAAGAATTTCACGATTTTAAAAGTGAGCCCCACACGGTCTGCTCGGATGCTACCTCGATTGAATAATGCTACTCAAACAGGGTTCAAAAACAGGTGCTGCCCTGTGTGGGTACTCTTTTTTTTTTCCAAATTGTCCAATGATGCTACGCCACACGTCCCCCTGTTTTTTAACTTCTTGTCGACCCTGTTTGCGTAGCATGATGGACCTTGATTTTCATGAGGTTTGATGGAGGATTTAGATTAAGTATATTTTCGTTGTCAGATTTAAAAATTAAATTTGTTGCGTGGAATGCAGTAGTATTAGGTTTTATCTATTTACATCAATCGAGTGCGTAGTGTATATGGATAAGCGGGCAAACACTGAAGCAAGGAAAAGCTGGATTGGTTTATTTGGAATTTTTGGGCTTAAACGCACGTTTTGTTCTCGATGACATTGGAATGTGTCCTACGTTGACTCAGGACAAATCATTTGATAGTCTTTTTCTTAATTCGTGGCTCTGTGCAACATATTATTTGTCCTATTCTTGTGTTGTTTGCATTTTATAAAGAATAATGTTATTTAGTACTAGTTTAGATTGTCATAATTGATAGGTTCAATTGAATGCATCATATGACATTGTTTTTATTTGATATTCATCATCATGGGTGTTAATCACCAATTTATGTGACAATTACATGCCATTAAATGATATATTCATTTAAATGTAAAGTCACATGACTCATTTAATCGAACCAATAAAGTGTAGCTACATAGATTGATATTAGATGACATTGTTCTTTAAGTGAATTTATTATTTAAAGCTATGCAATTGTTACCTAAACGGGTGTTTATTCAATATTATTACTCGTTTGTAAATCACGTGTTTTATTGAGTTATATAATTTTTTTTTTAATTTTTAATTAAAGCATACTATCTCTCAGTAAAATTTTTCATGAATTGTAAAAGGAAAATATTTATGTAGTTTATTAATTATAAATATGAATTTTATTGGTAAATTAAATTACGTATACATTTTATATTATAATTAATTAAAAAAATTTAGTCGTTAATCACCAAATTTTATAACAAATTTTAAATTGAAAATTCACTAGTATGAACATGCAAATGACCGTATATTTACTTATCTTTAAGTATTAACTCATTATTAAAATGAACAAATTAAATTACAACTAACTGTAGAAAATTTAACTAGGACATTCTAGGCATATCAATTTATTTTAAATGATATGTGACTAACAAGTGGCCAAATGGTGAATATGATACTCATGAAGAGAAATCATAGAGGCTAATGTGATATTTCGAATGTGAAGGTTTATCTTTGATATTATAGTCTCTCGATTAAAATGAAATTTAGCCCCGTTTGAGTCCTATTTTGATTCGATTCTTGTTTCTAGATCAAGAACCGAAGAATCGAATAAGAACCGAAATTTCATTTATTTTTTGGATAAATCAATTTATTTTATTTTTTTCTAAACAAATTAACAATTTTTTGTTTTAACAATTTGATATATATATATTCCTTAACCTAACACGGGTTTAATTTTGGGCTAGTTTGTAGTTTTGTTTTTATTTCCTATTGGACTTAGTTTAGATTGGGTTTGANTTTTTTTTGATAGATCAATTTATTTTATTTTTTCTGAACAAATTAACAATTTTTTGTTTTAACTATCTGACCTATATATATTCTTTAACCCATTTAATTTTGGGCTAGTTTATAGTTTGACTTTTGTTTCCCATTGGATTTAGTTTAGATTAGGTTTGGTTTCAATCTTGGGTTAGGCTTTAGTTGCTATTTCAGCCATTCATGGTGGGTTTAGGTTACGTTTTGGGCTGGACTTTAATTTGGGTTACAGTTGTCCCCATATATATATTCTTTAATCCTCACTCACAAAATCTCAAATCAAGTCCGACCAAAGAGGAAACCTGAATTGAAATTGGAAATCTACACACACAAAAGAGGAACGCAGCCGAGTCCGACCAAGACCACGGATATACGACCATTTGAAGTTCGAAAGAAAAAACTTGTAATTTGGAGTTGGTGAGTTG